AGGAAAACTGCTCGAACCCAGGAGGCAGAGGTTGCAGTGAGCTGAGATTGTGCCACTGCCCTCCAATCTGGGTGACAGAGCAAGACTCCATCTCGAAAAACAAAAAACAAAGTCTTTTCTCTTCTAGCCAAGATGCTAGAAAGACATAACTTACCCCCTTACCTTAAACAGCAGAAAACTGGACAAAACATAAAACAATGGCTGTCAGACATTGGAAAATAAGCAGTACAGAATTATGATCCCCCAAAAGGAGGAAAACAAAGAAGGTGAACCCTACGACTTCCCTACAGAGAAGTTCCTACACCGCAGGGCTGGAAAAAGGAATCTAAACAGAAGCCAGAAGTCTTGCCAAATTGAAGACACAGAGATCAGCATTTGGAGAGACCAAGACATCTAGAAGGTGTACGGCAGAAAGCTGGCAAGGAGTAAGTTTGACAGACAGCTCTGAAGATCTCTTACATCTCTTGCAGACACTGATCTATGCATACAGAAGAAGAAACTAGCCAAGGCTGACGGCAAAGAACCACTGGAAAGGAGAAGAAACTGAGGAGCTCATGGCAAGCTCTACAATGAAAATAACTTGTTTCCACCACCAAGAGTGGAAAGACCTATTAATACACAGAGTATCAGGCAGATTCCGTAAATGGGTACTGCATTTGTAATGGGACAAATTAGCCTACATTAAAGGTTGCTCTTGATCTGCCCTCAACCCTTAAAAGCAAACCCTGAAAAGATCCAACTGATTCCACATAACATAATCACATTCCAGAATAAACTCCAATGTTACATAAAAGAAACATAACAAAATCCAGTATCCACATCATAAAAATCACAACTTCTAAATCCTAATAACAAAAATAACCAGACATGCAAAGAAAGAAAAAAAATACAAACCATAAGAAACAAAAAAAAAAACATGAACCATAAGCAGTGGGAAAATCAATCAGTAGAAACAGACCTAGACATGAGAAAGATGAGGGAAGGAGAAGACAAGGACATTAAAACAGCTATTAGAAATATGTTCCATATATTGAGAAAGACTGAGGAAAACTTGAAAATGATGAGAAAAGAAAGGGAAATATTAAAAAGGAAACCCATGGCTAAGCACAGTGGCGACTGCCTATAATGTCAGCACTTTGGGAGTCTAAAGCAGAAGGACTGCTTGAGCCTATATATACATATATGTGTGTGTGTGTGTGTGTGTGTGTGTGTGTGTGTGTGTGTGTGTGTGTGTGTGTGTGTGTGGTCTAAATTGAGAACAGAAAAGCGGGGACAAAAAATGTTTGAAGAAATCATAGCCAAAACATTTCCACATTTGATGAAACCAGAAATGTACAGATTCAAGAAGTTCTAAGAACCCCAAGCAAAATAAACATAAAGAAAACCATGCCAAGGCATGTGATAATCATACTGTTGAAAACCAATGATAAAAAGAAAATATTAAAAGCATTCAGAGGCCAGGCATGGTAGCTCACGCTTGTAATCCCAGCACTTTCGGAGGCCGATGTGGGTGGATCACCTGAGGTCAGGAGTTCAAGAATAGACTGACCAACATGGCAAAACGCTGTCTCCACTAAAAATACAAAAATTAGCCTGGTGTGGTGATGCTTTAGTCTTAGAAAAAAAGGAGACAGAAATTAGGGCGGAGTTTCTGCCCCTAGTGAAACTACTCGGGAGGCTGAGGCAGGAGAATCACTTGAATCCGGGAGGCAGAGGTTGCAGTGAGCTGAGATCACACCATTGCACTCTAGCCTGGGCAACAAGAGCGAAACTCCGTCTCAAAATGAATGAAGGAATGAAAATAAACCTATATAGTAGCCAAGTTTCTACATTTCATTGAAGTGGTACAATGCTAACTTTAAGTAGACTGCAAAAGGTATATTCAATGCAATCTTAGAGAAACTGCTAAAAATATGCAAATATAGCCAAACAGCCAACTGATAAATTAAAATAGAATATTTAAATATATTCAAATTATCCAAAAGAAAGCAGAAAAGCAGGTATAGAAGAGCCAAAAAAGTGGAGGGATGGACAAACAAAATAAGTGGTAGAACTGAAAGAAACTATATTGATTATTGCATTAAATATGTATGGATAATACGCCAAGTAAGATACAGAGATTGTCAGACTGGATAACAAACAAGACCCAACTCTAGGCTATGTACATGACAGACACTTTTAACATAAAAATATAGCTAACAGTAAAATATATAAGCCAGCCACAGTGGTATGTACCTGTAGTCCCAGCTACTCAGGAGGCTGAGGTAGAAGGATCAGTTAAGCCCAGGAGTTTGAGGGTGTATTGCACTATGATCATATCTCTGAATAGCCACTGTACTCAAGCTATACACCAAGAATTTACTTTGAAAAAAAAAAAAAAATAAGGTATCCATGAAGATACTAATAATAAAAAAGCCAGGGTGGCTATATTAAAGTCAGACAAAACAGAATTCAGAACAAGGAATACCACCAGGGTGATAAAGAAAGATATTATATAATGATAAACAAGTCAATTTGCCAAGATATAATAATCCTAAATGTGTATCTATCTAACAGCAGAGCTACAAAGCAGATGAACCAAAAAGTGAAAAGAACTAAAAGGAGAAACAGACAAATGCACAATTACAGCTGAATATTTCAACAATCTTTTCTGTTGCTTTAAAATAAGAAGACAGAAAAAATTGTGAAAACAGAACAATATCATCATACAGCTCAACCAAACTAAAACTTACCCACCAAGAGCAAAATACAAGTGCATATGGAATGAAACATTTACCAAGATAGACCATATTCTGGGCCATAAAACAAGTCTCAATAAACTTCAAAGCACTGAAATAATACAAACAATATTCTTGGGGCAACACTAAACTAAAACTTACAGAAGAAAATGTGGAAAATCTCCAAGTATTTGGAAATTAGGCATTTCTAAAAACTTCAAAAGTCAAGGAAGTAATTTAAGGGAAATGAGATAACAAATTGAACTCAAAAGACAATAAAAACACAACAAATAAAAACTTAAGAGCTGCAGCTAAAGCAGTACTTAAAGGGAAATTTATAGTACAAAATATTTATATTAGAAAAAAAGAAAGGTCTCATACCAGTGAACTACGCTTCCACTCTAAAAAATTAGCTAAAGAGGAGCAAATTAAACTCAAAGCAAGCAATGAAAATAAAATAAAGAGCACAAATCAATAAAACAGAAAAACAACAGAGAAAAAAAATCAATAAAAAGGTGGTTCTCTGAGGGGGGGAGGAATCAATAAACTTGATAAACACCTATCCAGACTGAAGAAAAATAAAAAGAAGATATAAATTACCAATATAGAGAATGAAAGCTGAGTACAGACCCTACAGACATTAAAAGTGAATATTACAAACAACTGTATACCCCATAAAAGTGACAACATAATAAAAACAAATTTCTTCAAAGATACAAACTTCCAAAAGTTACTGATAAATAAATAGATAACTTAAATAGTCCTGTATCTATTAAATAAATTGAACTTATAGTTTAAAATCTTCCAAGAAAGCAAACTCTAGACGCAGTGGCTTGACTGGCAAATCTTACCAAACATTTAAAGAATAGGGAACAAACCACTCTTAAACAAATTCTTCCAGAATTTAGAAGATGAGCAATGACAGAACACTTCCCAATTCATATTATTATGAGGCCAAAATTATCTAACACCAAAACCAGAAAAAGACATTTTAAGAAAATAAAACTACAGACCAATATACCTCATGAATACTTCCAAATCAAATACAAAAATATGTAAAAATGGTAAGTTATAATCATGTGGGGTTGGTCAACATTTAAAAATCAGTCAATCGCTACTAACAGACAATAGCAGGAAAATCATGTAATCATGTCAATAAATGCTAGAAGATGTTTAACAAAATTGAATATTCATTAATGACAATAATTCTAAGGAAATGAAAGGAAATGTCCTCAACCAGACAGATGACAACTATGAACAACCTACAGCTAATAACACACTTAATGGAGGATAACCTTAATCTTTTCACCTTAAGACTGGACACAAGTCAAGTATGTCCATCCTTACCCTCTAATTTAACATAGTAGTGGAGGTCGTAACCAGTAAAATAAGGCAAGAAAAAGAAATAAAAGGCACACAACATTCACATACAACATGAATGTCTATGTAGAAAATCCCAAAAGGTTACAAAAACTACTAAACCTAATAAGTGAGATTACAGGATACAAGATCAAAATTAGCAAGATAACAGGATACAAGATTAAAAATCGGTATTGTTTCTTGCTTGTGTAAAATGGTACACCCACTTTGGAAAAGAGACGACAGTCACACAGTGTGGCAGTTCCTCAAAAGGTTAAACACAGAGTTATCATATGACTCAGCAACTCTGCTCCTAGGTATACACTCAAGAGAATGAAAACATGCCCATACAAAAATTTGTACATGGATGCTCATAGCAGGATAATTCATAATAGCAAAAAGTAGAGGCAACCTAAATGTCTACCACCTGATGAACAGATAAATAAAATGTGGTATATCCATACAGTGTAATATTGTTCCACAGAGAAAATGGAACAATTACTGTTACTTCATGGATACAACACAGATAAACCTTGAAAAGATCCCAAATAAAAGAAGCCAGTCACAAAAGACCACATAGTGTATGATTTCATTTACATAAAATGTCCAGAATAGGCAAATCTATAGACACAAAGAGTAGATTAGTAATTGCCTAGGGCTCAGGAGATTGCAGTAAATGGGAGGTTTCTCATTGGGGTGATGCAAATGCTCCAGGGCTGGACACAGTGGCTCACGCATGTAATCCCAGCACTTTGGGAGGCCAAGGTGGGCAGATCACCTAAGGTCAGAAATTCAAGACCAGCCTGGCCAACATAGTGAAACCCTATCTATACTAAAAACATAAAAATTAGCCAGGCTACTTTTGGTGCATGTCCATAATCCCAGCTACTTGGGAGGCTGAGGCAGGAGAATCACTTGAACCTGGGAGGCAGAGGTTGTAGTGAGCCAAGATCACACCATTGCACTCCAGGCTGGGTGACGGGAGTGAGACTCCATCTCAAAAAAAAGAAAAGAAAATATTTCAAAGTTCATTGTGGTGATGGTAGTACAACTCTGAATATATTAAAACTCATCAAACTGTATCCTTTAATGGGCAGATTATGTGGTAGGTGAATTATATCTCATAAAGCTGTTATATAAAAAAAAATTTAAAAACAGTAGTGTTTTTGCATATTGGCAATGAACAGTTAAAATTTAAAATTTTCAAATATACTATTAACAATAGCACCAAACCCCATGAAACACATTAAGATAAATCTAACAGAATACATGCAAGAGTTTCATGATGAAAACAACAAAACATTAGTGAGAAAAATCACTCCTGCTTAGCACTGCTTTATTTCAATGGTGAAACTCTTCTATATCTTGATTTTTTTTGTGATAATTACACTACTATATGCATTTGTCAAAACTCAAAACTGTACATTTAAAAGGGTGGTTTTTGCTGTATATATAAATAATGCCTCACAAACCTTTGTTAATAAAAAGCAATTTTTTTTTCACCAGAAGTTTATACTTTATATAAAACAGAGCACTGAAGCATGTTACTTCCTATTGTTTGCTATGTTTCAGTTGGTGAAAATTTTCACTTTCCTATTTGTGTCCTCCTGGTTAACATTTTTATTCCCTTGGCAGGTTTGGACATCCACAGGTATCTTCTCTTATATTGTTGCTGTAGCCACAAGGCTTTACCTCATTTGAGAAGTTACATATGGCCCAGTTGAGCTAGTATGTTAGACTTTTATAAAATATCTCCCCTACTCTAACTCTTTCCTTTCCTCATTGAAAAGCATCTTTATTCATCTACTGATGAGTGCTAAAACCTCTGGGGCAGCTCTCCACCCTTGGAAAACTCTACATTCTACATTCTCAAGAAGTTGGTGAACCCAGGCAGATGCAAACCACACTAGGGTACCCTGAGCACATCTAGCCAATGTGAAGTCAATTAGAGAGTTCTTATGTAAGGCTGCCAAGCTCCTAAAATAAAGAGGTAGGTCTTGATGGGACAACTGAAACTTGCTGTTGCATGGACAACTGACTTGATGCTAACGCTATTACAATGAGAATGAGAGAGCAGAGGTATTTTTAAAACCTGGGTCCTTGCAGACATTGTTGAGCAACTGATCATACCATTGTAGAGCTGTTATATAATTTTCCTACTCTCTAAGATAGTTTTGGCCAGGTGCGGTGGCTTACGCTTGTAATCCCAGCACTTTGGGAAGCTGAGGTGGGTGGATC